ACCTATAAACTTTCCAGATTCTTTCAGGAAAAAGCTCCTAAAACCTATAAACTTTCCAGATTCTTTCAGGAAAACCTTCTAAAAACTATAAACTCTTCAAATTATTTCAAGAAAAGCTCCTAAAAATTATAAACTTTCCAGACTCCTTCAGGAAAAGCTTCTAAAAACCATCAACTTTCCAAATTCTTTCAAGGAAAGACTATAAAAAAATTATACTTTTTTTTTAAAACTATATTACAATACTAAATATACTATGGTAAACTATAAACTTTCCAGATTCTTTCAGGAAAACTTCCTAAACCCCATAAACTTTCCAAATTCTTTCAGGAAAAGCTCCTAAAAATCCTAAAGATTTCAAATTCTTCCAGGAAAAGCTCCTAAAAAAGATAAAAATTTCCAGATTCTTTCTGGAAAAGCTTCTGAAACCTATAAACTTTCCAGATTCTTTCAGGAAAACCTTCTAAAAATCCTAAACTTTCCAGATTTTTTTTCAGGAAAAGCTTCTAAACCCTAAAAACTCTCCAAATTCTTCCAGGAAAAGCTCCTAAAAATGGCTGCAGGGGATTACAAGACTGAGATTAATTTGGTAACAAGCCCTAAAAAAAAAAAAAGCCTGAGCTGCAGCACCAGCAGTTCAGCCACTTGGACGAGTCCCAGACACCCAGGGATGTTCAACACTCTCAGAGAAAGAAAAAAATCACAATATTCAGCCCAAAGAGCTGCAGAGAAAAGCCAAGGGATTTTGTAATAACTGAGCAAATTCAGCGTGGATTTGCAGTCCAGTGGGGATTTGTGGAGTGGGAAAGAACCCAAAGCTGCAGCCCCTTAATAGGAGCAGTCCTGCAGGTAAATCCCTTTTTATTATTCCAAAGTACCCCGGGAAAAATACTAATTGAAAACAAAGTTCTAATCCCATCCAGCTGGAAAACATCAGCTTAGGATGGAACTGGCTGGACACTGGGCTGCCAACTGGCTCTGGACAATGGAAAAGGGAATTAATCCCTTG